TGCAGTGGCAGCATAGGAAAGGGTCAGAGCTGACTTGGGAGCCGGAGCAAGAGATACGTGAGCAGCATCCATAGTTGTTTGCAAAATGAGACTTCAAGGGCAAAGTCTGATTCTAGTGGGGGGAGAATTGTAACATATGGATTCCTAGGTATATTATTCTAATATTTTTATTTTTGGAATTTGTGAAGGAACTCGGCGAGTTGATGCTTAGACTCGCCAAGTAGGGTCGCGGATTATCATCTGGGTTCGCGAATGGACTTGGTGAGTCCATTAGTGGACTCGGCAAGTCCACACTATTTAATGAAACCCTAATCCCCCAGGGTTGGAGCTTATTTAAAGGAACTCATAGTCCCCTATTGTGGCTACCAGTCCCTTGAGAGAACCCTAAGTGAGCTAAATAGTTTAGGAGGAAGGAGAAGCTATATTTGATATTTCTATATTTTGTTTAGAAAGAAGAAGGTGATCAGGAGCAAGAGGAGACTAAAGGAGGTGTGATTCTAGTGGTTTCAGAGTCCAGAGACTTCAACATGAGGTATTTATTCGAACCTTCTGCAGTTTTGGTATTGATTCTTAGAGTTAGGGTTTTCTAACCTCTTTTGAGGATGGTAATGTGGAGCAATTGGTCTCTTCTCGAGTTTATGATTTGGATCTGGACTCAAAGAGGTTCAAAGACCTTAACCCTTGGAGCTTTATGAGTTGTCTTGGGAGTTATGAGCTTAGAATGTCATTTTTGGGGCTAAATCACCAAATGATGAGACCATCTAGATGATATATGAGTGTCAAGGTCTGGACTTTACGTGATTATTAAGCTTGGGAAGGCCAGATCTATGGATTAGAGGAATAGATCTGACCTCAAGAGGTCAATGGAGTTTGTGCATGGCATGTACTCGCCGAGTTGTTCTTGAGACTTGGCGAGTTGAGTCGGGGTGGCCCCGTAATTCATACCTGGGGACTTGTCGAGTAAAGGGAGGGACTCGATGCGTTAAATGGGACTAAAGAGTTAGTGGACACATGTGGACTTGTCGAGTTGCCCAAGTGCACTCGACGAGTCGGGTCAAAGTTTGACCGTTGACTTTGGTTGACTTTTAGGGTTTGGTCAACAATGAGGGCCTTTGAGCCAAAGGAGGGGTAAAATGGTCTTTAACCTTTCTGAGGGTGCCTAGAGAGGGTTGAGTCTAGTTTTGAGAGTTATATTTATGATAGTATAACTTTATGTGTTTAGGCGGAGGCTAGATCGTATTTCTACCAAGTCAGAGATTTACCGAGACATCTGAGGTGAGTCTTCTCACTATACTTTACCTTGAGTGGTAATTAGAGTTATGTGACGGAGTTATCGTATGCTATTTTGTGATGTGTTGTATTGCATTATTTCTATGTGGTTTATGTCATGTGTATATCAGAGTTAGAACCGGAAGGTTCATAGAGTTAGGACTAGAGGGTCCATAGAGGTAGGGCCCACGGGCCCACAGAGTTATAGCCTCGAGTGGCTAGTATGTGTTATGTATGGTATTTTGGGGAACTCACTAAGCTTTATGCGTACAGTGTTATGTGTTATATGTTTCAGGTACCAGTGATGATCGCGGGAAGGCGCCAGCATGATTCGTACACACGCATGGGTTTTTATGTATTTTGATCTTGGGAAATATTTTGTGAAACAAATTTATGATACAATGGGGTTTTATTGATAAATGTGTTTGGAAAAATGTGTTTAAAAATGTGAAAAATTTGTTTTAAATTTTACGGTGTTACAACCACAGTCAAGCAGATCTTCAGATACTTAAAAGGAAGCAAAGCTCTCAGACTATGGTATCATGTGGGGAATGACTTCAGCTTTCAAGCCTTTACAGATGCGGATCATGCAGGATGCAGATTGGATAGAAAAAGCACTTCTAGTGGTTGTTCATCTCTGGAAGGACGACTAGTTAATGGGTCTTCATGAAAACAAAATTGTGTTTCTTTGTCCACCGCAGAAGCTGAGTACGTGGCCGCAGAAAGTCGTTGTTCTCAAGTCCTATGGATGAAAACCCAACTGATGGACTACGGATACAAAATGTTGCATATACCGATTTATTTTGGATTCCGAGAGTGCTATAGCGATTTCTCAGAACCCTATCCATCACTCGAAGACGAAGCATATTGAACTTCGGTACCATTTCATAAAGGACCATATACTCAAAGGTAACATTGAACTAATCTTTGTCCCATCTAATGAAGAGATTGCGGATGTGTTTACAAAGGAACTTGATGTAACAAAACTTAATAGTTTCCTGCAAATGTTAGGAATGATGAATCCAGATCCACAATTCCTTTTGGATTGATAGGTACCGCAGACCATTTCTGGTCTTCGTTGTGGTCCTAGTCAGATATATCTATTATAGATGGTTTCAGTATACTCTGTGTACCACAACCATATATCATACATATATCTCTTGGGTCCTTATTGCTTGTTATTTCTGATATTTTGTCAAGTATTTCTCAATTCGTTCTACCGCAGTTGCATCACCATCAATCCGCAATGAAGGATCAATCCGCAGTCACACTTAATGATTTCTCAACTACTATTTCATAAATTCCCGGAACATTGTGTGCTATTAAATGGTTCTCATTAAATAAAAAAACATTCTAAAAAATATTCGTTCGTAGCATACAAAGTTTCAGTTAGTTTTCAAATAGTCTTTTGGTGTCAAACCTATTTTTAGTATCATGACAAATAAAACAGTTTTCCGTAAAAGAAATCTTTTTAGAAATCTTCTCCTTAAACTGTCGAATCCCTTTATCCCCAAGATGTCAAATCTGTTCCAAATTCCACCTTTATTTAACGGAATTTTGCCCCTCACCACAGCTTCACCAAACGTGTGATATTGGGCCTGATATATTATAAATGCCCCATTTTTGAAAATTAAAAAAACAAATAATTTCTTTTATTTATCTTATTTGTGGCTGAAAATGGTTAAAACCCAAGTGTTTTTAGATTAACAGTTGTAAATAGGGTAAATCCAATAAACCTTTCAGACATTTTCAACAAAGGTAAAGTATGGTGTATCAAAGAAACAATCAAAAGCTTCTGGATTAGCCCAACCCACTGGTTCTAAATCCACAATGAGAAACCAATCGCAATCGATAGCCTCAAGCAATTTTAAGGCAATCTTTGAAGAACATGAATCTCATAATGAATCCATCCATTTGGAAATCAAGTTCATCTCAACTCATCCTTTGTTTGGAGCCTTTGTCTCATTCACCGATGTTGTTCCACTGTCTACTCTCTTCAAATGCACATTATCTGTATATCGACCCCTAACAATCTTCAAGAAGTTCACCTGAACCTAGTTGATGATTCCTTGGTCATCTTGACCAAAGAGAAGTTTCTAAATGCGATCAACTTACGTGTTCTTCCTACCACGAGTTTCATCACCCCAAGTGTGAAAGACATCATCACAACTCTCTACCAGATGGGATACCAAAAGCAACTTAGGGGTATCGGTGAATTCAATAAAAATCAGTTGTCTGCGGTTTGGTAGTTTGTGTGCTACTTTATCATCCGGAGTCTCTATGGGAGAACCGCACATACAATATGGGCCTTAAACTACTAGAATTGGTGCGGAGCATCTTCATTGGCCACGACGTCAGCTATGGGCAGATCTTGTGGGATGACTTCCTCTAGTACATTCCCAAGGAAAATCCGAAGGCGGCACCAACAGAGCTCACCTTCACATGCTTTTGGTCCCTATGCATCTCTGACCTCCACCGTGACGCACAACTTAGCATGGGGAATGACATCAACTTTTTCATCACTAGAGATCTCCAAATCCTGGCACCACTCAGCTAGGGGTGGCAAAAGTTGACACGACACGACAAAAATACACGACACGAAACGAAATTGGGACGAAATCGAAATTCGAATTCGTGTTCGTTTCGTGTTCGTGTTGTTTAAAAAAAAACGACGTCGTGTCGTGTCGTGTTCGTGTTTGAAATTAGAAACGATAACAACACGACTAAAACACGATATATACACGACTATAACACGATATTAAAACGAAATGAAACACGACTATAGAACGATACTAAAACGATAATAGCACGATAATTCCATTTTACACTTTTTTAAATGATAGGTATTTAATAAATAATAATAATAGGTATTTAAATTTATGCATTAAAATAATTAAACAATTAAGGATTCAAGACCTAGGCTAGGCCTTTCCATCGGCTTCTTTGAAAACCCAAAAGACTTTTAGAAATTCTAATCGGCGTTTTGCATTTCCCCATTCTCAATACTCAATAGAACTAGAACCATAAACCGTTGATGGCGGTATTATTTGAAAACCATACGCAATCAATTTTGTTAAAGGAATCTCCAGTTCATTATTTGTTTTTAAACTACAATCCCTCAACCACAAGCCGACAATCGGTGATCGCAAAACCAATTTGCTCTAGCCGTTTCCTATTCTTGCTTCTCAAACTTGTTTCGTTTATGGTTTAGCCGTTCAGACAATCGCAATTGACTCATATACTTGCTTTATTGCTTCTCAAATCTCAACCACAATTGACGCAAGAAAGGTAATTTTATTATTTAATTTTCAAAGAATGTTGCAACTGGTTACTTAGAAAAAGACTTTTGTGAATTGTGATATCGTTAAGTACGCAAATACGTAATAGCACTAAACATTTGTGCACTCTTGTCACTTGCTTTTTTTTGTAGTTTCTTATACAAAAAGAAAATAAAAATATTTCTGTGATAATTCTTGATTGATTTTGCAATAAGGAGAAGTTGTATACGTCTTATCTCTTGATTACTTCTAATATTGCTCCATATTTGTTTCTAAGATACTTGATTTTACTTATACTTCTAGTCTTCTTGATTACTCTGAATTTTGTTGTTATTTTAATAAACTGTACACTCCATATTTTGCTTCTGATTGCTTTCTTAGTTTCATATTGCAGCTTTCTTTTAAATATTTGTTTCCAATTTTTATTTCAAACAGTTTGATAAGAAAATCGACATGAAGAGGGCAAAGCTTGATAAAACACATAATACAAAAAAGGCAAAGCTTAATAAAACAGATACACATTCTGCAACTGTAGCTCCTCAGATTTTATTATTTTTTTTAAACTTTTCCCCATCTAAATTATATAATTTCTGAAAAAGACCCTCCTTTTTTATTTTAGGATGTAGAACTTGAAGAAGAAGCTGATGACATTGATGTTGTGGAGGTAGATGTTAAAGTAGAGGGTGAAGAAGATCATGTAAAAATGGAAAGGGAAAGGTGGTCTAAGGTATGGAAGTATTATACTAGACTTCCAATTGGTGCAGATGGTAGGGAAAGGGCTGAATGTGATAAGTGCAAAAAAAGATACATTTGTGAAACAAAAAATGGAACAGGTAGCTTGAGAAATCACATTGCAAAGTGTCCAAGAAGGGACAAAAGTGACATAGCACAATTCAGTTTTGCAAAATCAGGTGGTTCAATTTCAATAAATTCCACAGTTTTTAAACCCGAAAGATTCCGTGAACTTATTAGTGAAGCTATTGTCAAGCATGACCTTCCCTTTAGGTTTGTAGAGTATGAGGGTATTAGAGAAATCTTTAGTTACTTAAATGAAAAAGTTACCACAATTACTAGAAACACCGCTAAAGAAGATGTGCTGAATTTGTTTAAAAGAGAAAAAGGAAAACTCAAGAAATTGTTTGAGTTACTTCCTGGTCGAATTTCATTAACTGCTGATTTGTGGTCTTCTATTAACACAGATGGTTTCTTGTGTGTTACTTCTCACTTTATTGATGAGGAGTGGAAGTTGCAAAAAAGAATTTTGAACTTTCAATATATGCCACCTCCACATAATGGCGTATGTTTGACCGAAACAATATCTACTTTATTGACCAATTGGGGGATTGATAAAAAGTTGTTTACAATCACGTTAGATAATGCTGCAAGTAATGATACTTTTGTCAATCTCCTAAAAGGTCAATTATGTAATGAAGGTGCACTTCATAGTAACGGAGATTATTTTCATGTTCGATGTTGTGCTCACGTGTTGAATTTAGTTGTGCAAGATGGCTTGAAGGCTATTGATGAAGGGATTGTCAAAATTAGAGAATCTATCAAGTACGTGAAGGGATCTTCAGTAAGGAAAAGAAACTTTCTGAATTGTGTGAAACAGGTTAATTTGAATCCAAATAAAGGCTTGCGACAAGATGTTCCAACTAGATGGAATGCTACTTTTCTTATGATTGAAAGTGCCCTTTTTTATCGTCGTGCTTTTTTCCGTTTAGCACTAAGTGATTCTAATTACTTAGATTGTCCAAGTAATGAAGAATGGGGCAAATTAGAAAAGATTTTCAAATTTTTGGAAGTATTTTATGAAGTCACATGCATTTTTTCTGGAAATAAGTATTGCACAGCAAACTTATATTTTCATTCAGTTTCCACGGTTGAAAGAACTTTAAAAGAAGAAATAGAAAGTTCGGATACGTTTATAAAGATAATGGCTTGCAAAATGTATGAGAAGTTCTCTAAATATTGGTCCGAGTATAGTCCAATTTTGGCCATGGCTGCAGTTTTGGATCCACGTTATAAAATGCAATATGTTGAGTTTACTTACAAAAAACTCTATGGAAGCAGTTTTCGTGAGCATAGTGATTGTATTCGGGAGAAGTTACATGATCTATTTGGTGAATACGTTATTGAATCACCCATGGCTTATAGAGCATCAACCATTTCAACAAGTGATTCAAGTAAAAGTGTTTACAAAAAGAAAGATGACACAACACTTAGTAAAAGCACGAGAGAAATGCTACAAGTAAGAAGTTGTTTTTACTAATTAATTTTTTTATATAATTAGTTTATTTCATAAGTTTTTTTAATTTATACTAATTAATTTTCTGTTTTCATAGGAGTTCACAGTGTATGAAACTAAGGAGTTTGCTTTGTCTCAAAAATCACAATTAGAGATGTATCTAGATGAGCCAAGAAGTGACATAACTGAAGATATAAATGTACTTTCTTTTTGGAAAGCCCATCAATATCGTTATCCGGAACTTGCTTCCATGGCTCGAGATATTTTGAGCATCCCTGTTTCCACTGTGGCATCCGAATCAGCCTTTAGTAATGGTGGTCGTATTCTTGATCAATATCGAAGTTCGTTGAAACATGAAAATGTTGAAGCTCTAATTTGTGCAAAAGATTGGTTGTTTGGGATTAAAGGTAATTTGTATTCTTCTTGAAACATTTGTATAAAGTATTTAATATTTTTAATATGTTTTTAATATTGTTTGTAGGTGATGAAGAGTTATGTTTACAAGATCTTACCGAAGATGTTATGAAGTTTGATAACAATGCTAATGGTACACATGAAGAAATGGAGTCACAAGCTTGAAGACATTTAGCAAAATTTTATGACGTTTTATGTTATTTTCTGTCACTAAATGTGTATTTGTTATGTTTAATTTAACTTTTTTTGCAAGAACTATGAATGACATTATGGAATTGTTTTTTTTTTTGGTAAATTATTTCGTGTTATCGGTTTTTTCGTGTTTTCGTGTTTTTTTATTTTTTCGTGTTCGTGTTAACGAAAACAAACACGATATCGTTTCGTTTCGTGTTCGGGTTGAGGGAAAATAATTCGTGTCGTGTCGTGTTAGATAAAAACACGGCACGACTGCCCGATTTGCCACCCCTACACTCAGCCCTTGTGGCCATGGAGGTTCGCCTGCAGTGACTCCAGGGCATGAGGCAAAGCTTTATGTTTGCAGCGGGGGATTAGTTGGTGCGCGAAAGCTGGCCCGAAAACCCTCGTTAGGGAAGTTCCCTTTCCAAAAAAGGTACCCAACTTCTTATGATCAATATTTGTTTAGACCACTGAGATGTCTACATGTCCATATTTTAATATCCGTTAGACTTGAAACTCAAGAAGTCACGGATCATATTAAGGATACGGAACGTATTGACCCACACCTTCCTACCCCACCTCTTCCAATTCAGTCTATATTGTCCTCGACAAACCCCCAAAGTCCGATTGTAACGCCCGTGTTTCTGGGTTAAGCATTAGTATAGTGATGTAATAATCATGTCAACCATTGAAACCCATTTTGAAGTAATAAAGGTGAATTATTTGAGTAATACGTGAATTATGTGAATTTATGTGTTTATTGCTTGTTTATAATCATATAATAAATAAAGGATAAAAATAAGCATAAAAAATAAAGTGTCAGATAAACTCAATATTGATGAAGAAAGTTTTATTGTTCGTGACAAGGATTACAGACATATAAAGAATGCCGAAATCCGAGTAATAACGAAGAAGTTATCACCTGTCGAAGTTACACGACAAAACCGGTATGACGATGTGTGACATAAATAGTGGATTTACGATAGAGGACTTTTTGGCCTTAGTAATCTAAACCAAAGTTGTATTATACATTAAATTGAGAGTGTGCATAAAAAGAACACCCAAATCTGACTTCATATGAGGAAGTTATGAATTTTCTAAGATTTGGCTTAGTAGTGCACAACCCGAAACTTGAATTTTATATCAAGAGGTTTTTGGCCTATGCGACCTAAATGAGAATTGAATATATCATTAATAGGAACTCAACGGTAAAAAGACAAACGAAAACAGAGTCCGTATGTAGAAGTTATGAATTTTACGCGGACATTTAACACTATAATCTCCTCGTACTATTAAATTTAAAATAAGTAGAGAATTAGCCGATGGAGTCAAAATGAATGTTGTAGATCTTATTTTTACCTACATGTGGATATAAAGAACGTCAAAAATGGAGCTCATATGTGAAATTTACGGATTTTAGAAGTCGGAAGTGTGTTGTGCGGAAATGGGTGACGTGACACAATCTTGGCCATTGATTTCTCCCAAAGTCTTGCCACCATATGGTGACATGTGGTACCAAGTTCAGCCATATTTCACCCTATAAATAGAACCTCTCCCACCCTCATTTTCTTCACACATTTCCCATTCTTTCTTCTCTTTACTCTCTCTCTCTCTCTCGCCCTAAAACCCCCGAAAAGCATAGGGAACCTCCCTAGCACGAGGCGGAAACCCTGGAGTGCTCAACAACTCCGAAAATAAGAGCTTTTCGGCTCGAGAATGCTGCTCTAAGCAAATCCCGATTTTCTATAAAACCCGTTATAAGTGAGCTACGCCTACACTATTTTTAATATAGCGTTTATTTAATTATAGTAACGTTATTAGGAACTTATAATAAGTACTTGGGCTATTATTATGGTTTATATAAGTATTGTTTAAAGCTTATATAAGTATGGTTTGTATAAGTATTGTTTATATAAGTATTGTTTATATAAGTATTGTTTAAAGCTTATATAATAGTAATAATATTTAGACTATTAATCAATCTCGGAGAATAATAGAATAAATTCTAGTGGTAATAATACTAGGTTTTATCGAAGGAAATTACTTTTTAAGAAGCGAAATTAACGTTGTCTGAGTTCGGATTCACCACATTTTCAAGTAAGTGCATAGTTACTTTCATCTAACACATAGATATGAAGTATTTAATATAAAGTACGTGCTATGTGTGTATATTCTCCGAATACTAGTTGTCTATGCTGATGAAAGATTTTTATACACGTTTTAAATTATTTAAACTGTATATGTATTTTATATCTACAAAAATGTTGGGGTAAAACATGGGTAGATGTAATAGACGATGTGTGGTAAAATGATGAGAGGCCTCGATGTGGTTTTTGTTGATTTTGTCATCTAACGGAGTATGGATGACGACCACAGACTCATCTAGACAGTCCAGTGGAACGCTAGTAGGCTCGTAACCTGTAGGTGTTTATAAATGATGTGTTCACCAGTGTACTCCATCCCCCACATGGTTTCCTTAAGGACATTTATTGCTGAGGAATCCCCTTAGCATTAGTGTCCATCACGATGTTGATCCTTAGTCTAGGTACCTTATGATAGGTGTTTTAGGGATGTAATGTGAGGATAACGGGAACAGGTAATCGGGTTATTGTTGGTTGATGAAATTAATAAACTTATTTATTGTGGGTTGAAAACCCTATGTGCTCACCAGGCTCGCAAGCCTGACCCACTCAGTTTCGTGTATTACAGGTAGTGGCTCTCGAGCATAGATATGATGTTTTGGATGAGGGATTACGGATATAGGTCTGTAGATATGAAATAATGTAGTAAGGCTTATATTGTACTGTTTATGCATTTGATCTGTATCGAACATGACATCCTGATTCTTTTTAATGAAATACATTTCTACAAAAATTCTTTGATAAATCTTTATCATATTTTAATTTGGGAACAAATTCCGCAACACTTTTATGAAAAATATTGCTCTGATTTTAAAACAAGCATAAACAAAAATCGGTATTTTCTGGCCGTGAAAATGGGGATGTCACAGGTGAGTACCGCAGCCCCAACTTCTACTCAATTTCATCTCCATTAGCAAGACGTCTAAAGATGCTAGTGTTATCAAAGAAAGGTGAAACCTCCAAAAAACGCAAATCCAGGACAATTACGTCCTCGGATGAAGAGTCTGATCACAGCCCTCCTGTAAATGTTGAAGAGTTTGCATGACTCAGGTCCTGTTCTCACATGCAAGAAACAAAATACCAACCCATTCCTAGCCAAGTGCATATCCAGACAGATACCGCAGCCTATCAAAAGGCTTCGTTAGTCCTTGGGGTCCCCACAGACCTATTAGCATCAACCCTCTCCAGCTACTCGGACACAACATGTGTGTTTGTTTCATCTGAAAGTGGACACTCAACCCCTAATGAATCCCAAAGGGATTCACTTGGTTCTACACTACCTAAGGTCTCTAGGGCTTCCTGCCTTCATTTCTTTGAGGAACAGGAGTTGCGCTCCATACTTGATTCTGTTATCCAAACACTGAATACACCATCCCAACCGTAGGGCACTTCTTCAGCCCTAGCCAGAACTGAGCAGAGGCCATACTTGACTACGGGTCAAGGAGACCGAGGAAGCCCAGGGAATGCTACTCTGCTTACCTTACAATCAGGTGGTTTCGACATGCTGAGCACCATTGTGCAAGGATCCATGAACCCAAGGGACACCCTGGTGCACAATCAAGGATTTGACGGTTATGATTCAGATGATACCTGGACTCGGGATCGTCCCACAACTGAGTCTGGTATTCATAAATATGAAGCTTTTCGCAGGGCATTCCAAGCCCGCAAGGATCAATAGACTGAGCAACAACAACAGAAGGAGCGGAAGATTCAGACAGTAGCCAAATACTGGGCCGATGTAATTAACAATGCCAACACCATAGCCACCATCTCCAAAGTTCAAGATTTGATGACCACCATGGCCGAAATGATCCAAAAGGATCAAGCTCTTTAGAATGGTGCAGGTCCCTAAAAGCTTCCCCTAACTACCATCATTCAGGGATCCGAAGAAGATGGTACAACGATTGAAGTCAGTTCCGGACCAACCTTTGGTTTGGATGACTTGGATATGACCGAAGTCAATCAACCAAGGGGTTCTGATGACTTTATGATGATCGTTGATGAAGACTCCTCAAGTGGTTCTTAGCACTCCACTTCTAAACCTAAGGAGAAAGAAAAATAAGAAATTGGCTATGACATGCTAGGAATTTCTCGGTCTCCAGGAAAAGGTTGAAAAAATGTTGGCCACAGTCCGCAGTGACCATGCCACAACAAACCGACGTTGATGGGCCACAATCAATTGTTGAACGGGTTGAAAGACTAGAGACCAGAGACCGCCTGGCTGCTGAACGCACATCACTCAAATTCAAAAAGGGTATACGTTCCCTCAACAACAATCAAACAGCAGACCATAAGTGATTCATTGCTACTTCCGAAAAGATCATCAACGAGGTCACCGCAATCAAAACAGAACTTCAGTCTTCGATTGCTGATCAAGCCATTCAGTCCAAAAATCTTGTTGAGGAAACTCACAATGCTTACGAATCCACCATCTCCATGCTCCAATCAACAATCAACAATATAAGATGCTCATTGACCACAAGCTCTCATAGGCAAGAGATCCTTCAGCTCACCAAAGATATTCACCAATTTTTGTTCAAAATGAAGCTCCTTGATAATCAACAACTTGCAGATCTCATGAAGTCCCAATTCCTCAATGTGTTCACAAAGATTGATGGACTACGTCAATGGTTTGAGGAACAACAGGTTAGTTCCCCAAAAAGCGGGAAGTGAGCGCTCTCATCTGCAGCTCCATCAATCTCGGGTCATTCCAAACTTTGGTCCATCTCACTTTGCTGCAGAACATCCAGATTAACCATCTACAACTCCTGAAGCTCATCAATCTTTAAATTTATCTAAGAGTCAAGCTAAACTTCCCACTTCGGTGTCTTCTCTTCCAAGATCTCC